AATTTCCACATTTTTTTTCTACATGGCTTCGGAAGATGTGTTTCGGGGTCTCACGACGTTTTACCCTCACAGATAGGGCAGGGGTCGATGGCTGCTCTTTGTAAGCAGATAAGTTAGGTAGACAATATATACCCGTTATAGTAAGGGTGGCAGCATTACGTAGTTGAGGCTTTCTTACCTTCTTAGTATCTGACCTTTCTGCCTTAAAATTAAGGCACAAGGTCACCCTTGCCTTCGAGTTCGGCTCAGGAGTGCGTGAGCTTTCTTTATATCTATCCGTCTGTTACTGCGCACACAAACTAAATAAGTACTCTGCTCCATCATGCTGCAACCCGAACAGTACATCGAAGATCTACGTCACACGCGCCTAAAGCGCACTATCGTCCTAGCATTAGACAAATTCGTCGGTCGGTGGTGTCGACGATCCTCCCGGGTCACTTTTCTTCCTGGCGACTTGTGCATCAAGTCTGGACACGCCGTCCGCTTGACGGAAGCCTTAACTATGGAATACGTGCGAAAGCATACCACGATACCTGTCCCCAAGGTTTTCTGTGCCTTCGAGCACCACGGTGCCGTCTATATCGCGATGGAGCGCTTAGCAGGCCAACCCCTGGGTTGGGAATGGGCACGGCGCAGTGACGACTCGAAAGCCTATATTTTGCAACAGCTTCGAGACTATGTGGTGCAATTACGCAACCTTCCACGTATGAGCGACTGCAACTCAGTCGCTGCTATTGATGACGGGCCATTCCTGGACGAGAGACTGCCGGGCTCGTCAAGCCCGGTTGGTCCTTTCCCTTCTGTGAAACAATTTCACAGATACCTTAGATCAGATCAAGAGACAGATCTGAAGCACAACGAAGATGTTCAACGCCTAGTTAAAATGCATGATGACACTAGCGAAAATGTGTGTTTTACGCATAATGATTTGAGCAGCTTTAATATTTTGGTTGATGGCCAGCAAATCACAGGTATAATTGATTGGGAGTATGCGGCGTGGTTGCCCTCGTACTGGGAGTACACATCGGCCTGGCATGTTAGCCCGCAGAACATGTTTTGGCGAGACGAAGTTGGCAAATTTCTCGATGTGTATGAAAAACAACTTGAGATGGAAAAGATCCGACGCCAGTGGTTTGGCGACTATTAAAACAAGAAATTGGCTTGCACAATTGAGACAATGCGATGTGACGTGGATAGGCTCCCATCCATTAGAAGCACTACACGTGGACGAGATGACGCGTTGTGCCCAATATATTCAACTTATCTCCCTTTGCAAGCATGTAGCGGCTGTTGGTAATCTCTAGTAGAAAGATGGCGGGTTTGCGAGCACAAAAAGCCGGACTGCCCATTTTTTTTGTATTTTCTATTCATTTCGACTTCCTTTATCTGTTCTGATACATTATGCCTGCCGACAAAGCGAGGCTCTACGTCGCGTTATATGTTCGCGGAGGAGTAGCTAAAATGCCGGACAATGAAGACAAGTATTCTTCCCCTGTGCTGCTATACACGGGAGCTAATTCTGTCTATCAGGTATCACTGGGCACTATTGGTTGCACCCAAGAACGAGGACAATGAACCGACTGGGACGCGATATCATGCTAAGAATGCGCCTGGTCGAAGCACGTGGATTTTCGAAGAAAAGTCGACGTCAATGAACGCCACGAACATGATACTCGTTCGTGTTATGATTGGCAAGATTAACGACCCTCAAGCTCTAGCCACAAAGTTACGTCAAGTGCCGATCGTCAACAACGACCCTGGTTGGAACTGTGTCACCTGGTTACGAAGCGCACTGGCATTGATCGCACAAGACGTTTCTCTCATGGGAACATCTTCGCTTGGATGGGAAGCAGTCAAAGCGACAGCTTTACAATACTGTGAGCAAAAGGCGGCACAAGGCCGTTTCAATGGCACAAGCAAATTTGACACGTCGAAGGTGCCTACCTTTGACCTACTTCAGGGGAAGGAGACAACAAAGTGATGGGTGGAGACGAAGATGATAGGCACTTGCGGATTGGAGAGACTTTTACGCTGCCTATGGGTGTAGGCGTATGCCCAGTAAGATGCCCTTGTACTTGGCAGATTCGTGTCGATAGCCTGTGTCGAAGGCATACTCACAGGTTAGCGCTCCCACGATATTCATTCCTTTGGCTTCACTATTCCGTAACGTCTGGGTCC